TTTGCGGAGTCACTTGCAGCAACATTGATCCTATACCTCCCGCCTCCGAACTCTCTTCCTTTGTCTCAGAGAAAGAGGCTCTCCTCCTGGCTCAGGTGGGTCCTGGCCTCTGCTTCAGGCCCTCGCCACTCCCAGTGTGCCCCGCGGCCCCACAGCCTCTGTGTTACACGCAATCCTGTTAGAAGCGGAAACTGGCCACACGCAGGTCTGCTGAGCAGAGGCTGCGCCTAAACGGGGTGGCTAGGCCGCTGCGCCAAAGTGGCACGCGCTGAGGGCCTTAAACAACAGGCACCTATTTTCTCACAGTTCTGGAGGCTTGAAATCCAAGCCCAAGGTGTCAACAGGTTTGGTTTCTTCTGAGGCCTCTCTCCTGGGCTTGTAGACGGTGATCTGCCTTCTGGGTCTTCACATAGCTCTTCCTCTGTATCTGCCTGTGTCCAAGCTTCCTCCTCTTATACGGACATCAGTCATATCAGTCATATCAGTCATATGGGATTAAGGCTCACCCCAAGGACCTCCTTTTTACTTAAACACTTGTTTAAAGACCCCGTCTCCAAATATGGTCACATTCTGAGTTCAGAGACGTAAGGGCTTCAACATATGACCTTTGGGGAACACAGTTCAGCCCATAACAGTTCGTATACACATTAATGTTTGGGAAACACTGCACCAATCCTAACCCTCTCTCTCAAGACTCTTGTTCAATAATTATTGGGCTTTCAACAAGCCTCTCCCTTCAGAATAAAGAATAATTCCTTATATTTTTGGCACTTTCCTCGTATTTTTGGCACACCTTCCTCTTTGCTTCGTCAAAACTTGTCCATACCGCAATTCCACTCTTGTATACCCAGTAGAAATGCAAATATAGGGGGCGCCTGGCTGGCTCAGTCAGTAGAACATTTCATTCTTGATCTTGGGGTCCTGAGTTCAAGCCCCAAGTTGGGTGTAGAGATTACTTAAACAAAAAAAAAAAAAAAAGAGAGAGAGAGAGAGACAGACAGACAGACAGACAGAGAGAAGCCTGGGTGGCTCAGTGGTTGAGCATCTGCGTTAGGCTCAGGTCATGATACCGGGGTCCCAGGATAGAGTCCCTCATCAGGCTCCCTGCTTCTCCCTCTGCCTGTGTCTCTGCCTCTCTCTGCGTCTCTCATTAATAAATAAATAAAATCTTAAGAGGAGAGAGAGAGATGCATACACACGTTCACCAAAAGTCATGCAGTGGGTGTTCACCCAGCACTACTTGTGATAACTCAAAGTTGGAAACTCCTGGAATGCTATCTAGTGAATGGATTTAAAGAAATGAGCTCAGGCTGGAATCCACCGACACTCTGACTCATCGCCTGGGGCTTACCCAGCACAGAGCGGCCTGAGGTCTGGGTTTTGCACCTATCTTATACCGGTTCACTGTTTTAAATTTAGCTTGCTTAGATGTCATATATACGCTTTCTTCTAAAAACACAGGAAGTCAAAATTAAATTACTGAAACATGAACACAGCTTGCCCCCAAGTAACACATCTAACTAGAAGAACCCCTCGGGGACAGATAAGAGAGTTTTTGCTTCTGTCTCTTTATGCTGATGCATATAAAGTCTTCATCAGTACATCCCAGTGTCGAGTATGAAGCACTTTTGTTCCTACAGATCAAATATTACCAGGTAAGAAAGAATAGATCAGCAAACATAGAGACATAAACTTTCTATACTAGTTTTGGAAGGAGTTGTGCTTTTGTTTCTCTCTTGAGAAGCTGCATAAAGAAACACCTCTAAAAAAAAAAAAAAAGAAAAGAAACACCTCTAAAGATCTGGTTAAAAAGTATTTCTCTAAGTTACAAGGATCATCAGCTGATATTCAGGCCTATGCAGAGAAGGTTCTGGTTAGAAGAAATATAGTTGGCCACAAGGAGTGATCCTTTCATCCTGAAGAGTTGCCCAGTTATGTCATATAAATGTAACTATAAAGTCTTAAAATATATTCAAATATATTTTATATTTTTATATCTTTGAGCAATATGCATACGAGGTTGACGGAGGCCAAATCCAAGCCATTTCTCCCACCATTGTCACATTCAAAGGAGAGTATAGGAAAGTGTTTAGTCTTAACATCCAGTGACACTTTTTTTTTGAGCTCAGAATTGTAGAACCAGAAATCTTAAGACCACAAATAAGGCATTGTTGTCACTCACATTGCAAGAAGGTGTCTGAGTAAATGTAGGGCACGTTAGCACGATACGTGTGCGCTGGCTGCCTCTGTGCTCCAGGGCTTAGAGGACACTTACCTCCAATCCAAATCATATCACCAAGGGCAGAAGATGGATTTGATGAAAAAAACAGCGCTCACTACGAAAGTGGCTTCAGGCTTTTTCTCCCTTGCTCCCAGTAAAAGATACACAGGGGACATGAAATCCATTCAGCAACAGATTCAGAATTGAGAAGTGTTTTTTTTTTCTCAAGATTTATTTATTTATTCTAGAGAGAGAGCCAGCAGGGAGAAAGGCAGAGGGAGAGCAAGAATCTTCCAACAGACTCCCCGTTGAACACAAAACCCGTTGCAGGGTTCATTCGAGGACCCTGAGCTCGTTACCCAAGCCAAAATCAGGAGTTGCATGCCCAATGGACTGAGCCACCCAGGTGCCCCAAGAATTGAGAGGTTTTGAAATAAGTTATTTATCTTTTTCCGCCAAAATCTTTCCCATGTCATTACTTTAAGAAAAGTAACAGTATCTGAAAAATATTTCCCGATCTGGTTGACCTTTAAGGATCCCTCCACATAAAAGACAAATAGGGCCCCAGAGAGGAAGTGTTTTTCAGAGATTTTCCTACGCTTCAGAAGAGAGGAGATTTAAGTGTTTTTTGAAAATCACTATTACATGACCTGATGGTCCCAAGACAAATCACGAAAGAGTGTTGCTGGCCCCCAGAATAGTCCTCTGATAACTGGGGCCGGTGCTAACCCCTGGGAGACCGTGCCCCAGCCAGGCTGGAGCCCTCCTTCCTTCCTGACTTGAAGACCCCCCAAAGCCGGCGTCTCATACCACCACTGTGTGACCCAGTTACCTATCTTTTCTGTGACCCCGCTGTGTCATTAGCAATGGACCTCTCACAGGATTCCTTACAAAGAGCAAATCCTGAGTTGGGCTCTATTCTGCACAAGTTTCCACAATTTAAAAGAAAAAAAAATTTTCCCCTCTTAGCATATTTCTGCCATAAATACTTGCACAGGTTATGCTGCATTTCAAGACTCATTAACTCAATTAACAAAAAAAGTAAAACTGCCTACGCCCTGCCTGTCACTGTACTAGGTCCTTGTCACCAAGTTGAAGACACAATATCTGACCTGAGCTGACTTCCAGTCTGATGAGAGAGGCCGAAAGTACAGAGAGGTACTTTCCAGGTGTCATGTGGAACTGGATGGTGGTGGCCATGCTCCTCAAACCCCAAGATCGTCCCTGTCCCACACGCATACTCCAGGTGGATTCCATTGACTTTTCTGTCTCTCTCACTGGACTGTAAGCTTTGGATGGCCTCACACTCCTACACTCGTTTTTGTGTCAGTGGTACGAACCACAGTGTCTGAAACATATGTGTTGAATGATTGAGACACGTCATAGTGGGGCTGTGATCATTTGAGATTATAGCTCTCCTACGGGACAAAGAGGGAAACAGCCTTTTACATCTGGATCATCGTGGTAACAAGAGATCGGAGAGCAAGGAAGGTCTTCTGGGAATGGATTGGAGGGTCTGGAGGGATGCGTGTGCATGTGTGTGTGTGTGTGTGTGTGTGTGTGTGTGTGTGTGTCAGGGTGGGGGGTTGGGGGAATGTGACGGTGGGGAATGATCATTGCAAAATAAGTTTGAGACCAAATAGGGAAGAACCTGTACCCAATACACTAAAACCTGGAGACAAGTCTCCCATGATTACTTGATTTCAGATATAAAGAGCTTGGCAATTGGCTTCCTTCCTCCACTCATCATGTGTTTTCAAATAGTTCAGCTTTTATAGAAGAAAGAGGAAACAGAGTAGAAGAGAAACCAAGGAGGGTGGTGGGTGATTCCTTGGGTCCACGATATTCTCCAATATTGAAAAATGAAACCAATGTTCAAAAATGAACTCCCGGTAAACCAGATGTTTCCTGGAATCGCCCACGCTAACCCTGGAAGACCCAGCAAGCCAAAGGACCCACGAGCATCTGCTAGGAGACTGAGGCCCAGAGCCGGCAACCTCCTCGGGCTGCCGGCACAAGGGTAAGGACGTATTCGTGACTTCCAGAAGAAACCTTGGCACTGCCAACCGGACAGACAGCTAGGATTGCTCCACCAGCTCATGAACCTCACAATATCATCACCTTGTACATATTACATGGTGGATTTTTGTTTGTTGGTTGGTTTGCTTCACTTACTGCATTAAAGAAGGGTTTTCTGGACTAAGGAATTCTACAGAAGCCACCTCGATGTAAAGTCTCAGTTTAACAACAAGATTTTTATTTAGAAAGACTATTTTGTCAGTAGTGTGGATTTATGAGACAGAGGAAAGGATCAGGCTGGACTTGGAGGAACAGTTAAGAGGCAATTAAAGTAATAGTGGAAAATAAAAATAAAAATAAAGTAATAGTGGAGAAGATACAGTGAGACTCTGAACCCAGGCAACAGCAGCGTGACTCGGAAAAGGGGGGTAAATTTAAGAGATTTGGAAGGGAAACCAGCCTAAGCACCAGAAGTAAGACTGGGAGGACTCAGGATGGCTGAGCTTCTGCCTTTGACAGTACAGTGGGGGAGAGGGAGCCAAGGGGGAGGAGCGGGTTTGGGTGCAGGGATATGCTGAGAGTGACACCACAGAGAGAGAAATGAAAAAGAAAGACATAATTCAGAAGCCATATTAAAACTCAAAATTATAATCACAAAGGTTTATTTCTAAGCACATTTTTAAGGCAGTAGAATCATACAGGAGATCCCCAAGTTACCAAGCTTCAGCTTATGATTTCTTTTTTCTTTATGTTGGTGCAGGCGTGACGTGCATTCAGTAGAAACTGTACTTTGAATTTTGAACTTTTCAAGACTAGCAACACGTGGGACGATCCTCTTCCATGATGCTGGGCGGCAGCCGTAGCTCCCAGGGACCCATGTGATCATCAAGGTCAACAACCGATGTGCTTACAACCACTGTGTACCTATACAACCATTCTGTTTTTCACTTTTAGTACAGCATTTAAAAAATTGCATGAAATCGTGGACACTAAGACGACACTTAGTTTGACACTAAAATAGTGTCAAACACAAAACTTTGTGTTTGATGATTTTGCGCACAGAGTATCCTGAGCACTTTTAAGGTAGGCGAGGCTAAGATACAGTGTTTGTTGGGTTAGGTATCACTTTTAGGTTAAATAGGTTAAATGTACTTTCAGCTTTGGGTATTTTCCCTCGATGATGGGTTTATTGGGGCAAAACCCCACTGTCCATCAAAGAGGATCTCTACTTCATTCTTTGCTCTTCTGTAGTTTCTCTTCTATTTCTCTTTTCATCAATGTGTGAACACTATTTACAGAAAGGAAATTGCACAATTTCTTTCCAAAGGCTCTAAGTAGCTCTGAGAAAGCTCTGCTTGCCTTGTTGGTCAATGTCATTGAGAAATGAGTGGAAACCTTGGTGAGCATCTCCATCTTTGTTGCCCTGTATCTGCTAACGGAGAACAACACCAACTGCTTTTACCATTGCCCTCTAATTCCCCAAAGAGTGACTTCCAAGTAAATCTCTGTACTAAAGATCATGTGGGCTCCTACATGATTCCATTGTCTGGCACAGTCAACAATGTCAACCACATCATTATCGACATTTGGGGCCGGATGATTCCTCGGTATAGGGGCTCTCTGTGCATTTTAGGATGTCTAGCAGCATCCACGGCATCTACCGACTTGGTGCCAGTAGCACCGCGTCCGTTATGACAACCCACAGGGACTCCAGATATTGTCACATGTCTTCCAAGGGGACACAATTGCCCCCAGTGTAGTAAATCTATTCATATCAGATAAGTATGATAACAGAAGGCAGAAAAAAAAAAAAAGAAGAAAGAAGTCTTTGGGATTTAATCTAATGTGCCCTCAGGGAACATAAGAACAGACATAAAAACAAAAATGTCTAACTAGTAATTTTACAAAAGTCCTCCAGATGAGGCTATGATTAAATGTCAAGTCAGAATGGCAACTAAAGCTGTCCCTGTATCTCCCACCCCCGTCTGAAGCCTCCGTCCCCTAGTGAAGTGGAAGAAGGAATCTCAGGGAAACCTCAACATATAACCTGACGTTACACGCAAAATGTTATACATATTGCAGTGCTCTGGGGCACTTTGACCAGATCATCACAGAAACCTAAAATACGAAGAGGCAAAGAGCTACTTCTTGAAAGCATTACCCACTTCGCTGTACAGAAAGTCACACATAACCCACTTTAGAGAAGACTGTACATCGCCTCGAAATAACTCCAGAAGATGTAAGTTCTCATTTCTGTTGTATTCTTTCACTGTCCGTAATCACACGCTAAAAATGGCCAATTTACAGAAGTAGATGACTGCGTGTCTCCCATGCAAGTACTCAGCAGGCCCGACCCTGCTTAGCTTCCGAGGTCAGATGGGTCGGGCGCGTTCAGGGGGGTATGGCCTTAGGCGATAACTGCAGGTCAATTTTAAATATGTTTTTAACAGAAGTTTAAAATAGAACAGAATTTAAATCCTTTGCCTTTTTGTTGAAAAAGAATTGTAGTTTTACTCTTCAAAAATACAATTATGCTATAATATTACTGACGCTTTTGTCTGGATAAAATAACATAATCACTTGATTTCCCCCGTGAACACTATGAGAGATTCTCTGTCCTACACAGTTTACCTTTCTACCCATGTCGGCCCTTTCTCCATCACCATGGTGCCCCTCCTGCTACCGAAGGGCCACGCTGGCGTTCATCAGCTCATGTGAAGGCCCAAAAAGATCAACTCGAGAGAATCACAGAAAAAAAGCATGGTTTTGTTCTTCCTGTGTGACGAACATGCAAACCTGGGACTTCTGGGTAGCAGGGCTTCCTTTCATTGTCATGAAGACCGAGGCCAGGACAGAGCAGATGCTCAGGGCCAAGAAAAACACATGTCCTGAGTGCTCCTTTTCCCCCCACATTCTTCTTTTTTAAAATTTAATTTTCTTTTATTTAAATTCAATTAATTAACATATAGCATATTATTAGTTTCAGAGAGTTTAGTGATTCATCAGTTGCATAGAACACCCAGTGCTCATTACACCACGTGCCTCCCAGCCCCCCACCCACGGCCCTTCCAACCACTCTGTTTCCTAGAGTTAAGGGTCTCTCATGGTTTGTCCCCATCTCTGATTTCGTCTTATCTTCTTTTTCCCTCCCTTCCCCTATGGTCGTCTGTTCTGTTTCTTAAATTCCACACATGAATGAATCATACAATCGTCTGATTCTCTGATTGATTTCACTTAGCATAAGTGAACATGCCAAGCATGGAACCCTCTAGTTCCATCCACATCGTTGCAAATAGTAAGATTTCTTTCTTTCTTTTTCTTTCTTTTCTTTCTTTTCTTTTCTTTTCTTTCTTTTCTTTTCTTTCTTTCTTTCTTTCTTTCTTTCTTTCTCTTTCTTTCTTTCTTTCTTCTTTCTCTTCCTTTCTTTCTTTCTTTCCTTCTTTCTTCTTGTTTTGGTGGCTGAGTAGTATTCTCCTGTATCTATAGACCACATCTTCTTTATTCATTCATCTATTGACGGGCGTCTTGGCTCCTTCCAGTTTGGCTATTGTGGACAGTGCTGCTATGAATATCGGGGTGCAGGTGCCCCTTCGGATCACTACATTTATATCTTTTTTTTTTAAAGATTTATTTATTTATTCATTCAGAGAGAGCGAAGAGAGAGGAAGAGACACAGGCAGAGGGAGAAGCAGGCTCCATGCAGGAAGCCCGATGTGGGACTCGATCCTGGGTCTCCAGGATCACACCCCAGGCTGCAGGCGGCGCTAAACCGCTGCGCCACCAGGGCTGCCCTACATTTATATCTTTTGTATAAATACCCAGTAGTGCAGTCACTAGGTCATAGGGTAGCTCTATTTTTAATTTTTTGAGGAACCTCCATTCTGTTTTCCAGAGTGGCTGCACCAGCTTTCATTGCCACCAACAGGGCAAGACGGTTCCCCTTTCTCTGCATCCTCACCAACATCTGCTGTTTCCCGACTTGTTAATTTTAGCCATTCTGATGGGTGTGAGGTGGGATCTCATCGTGGTTTTGATTTGTATTTCCCTGATGCCAAGTGATATGGAGCATTTTTTCATGTGTCTGTTGGCCATTTGTGTATCTTCTTTAGGGAAATATCTGTTCATGGCTTCTGTCCATTTCTCAATTGGATTTTGTGTTTCTGTGGTGTTAAGTTTGATAAGTTCTTTATAGATCTTGGGTACTAGCCCTTTATCTGATACATCATTTGCAAATATCTTCTCCCATTCCATAGATTGTCTTTTGCTTTGTCAGGAAAGACCCAACAGTCAAAGGAATGTTGAAAGAGAAAGCCAAAGCTGATGAGCATCACAATTCTGGACTTCCCTCACATTCTCAATGAGCAGATGGCAAAAGTACCATTAGCAACACAGGCAAGTCTGTGACCTAAAGGATCTTCAGGGCAAGTCTAGATCTAAGTGTAACCCCGAAGCACACCAAGTCTTCCTTGAGTCACCTTGTCAGTGGACCCTGGCTGTGGTCAGCAGAATCATGGCCCCCCAGAGATGTCTACATCCCAATCCCCAAAACCCATGACCTTACATGGTAAAAGGCACTTCGGAGATGTGATCAAGTTAAGGGCCTTGAGATGGGGAGATTATCCTGGATTATCTGGATGGACAATGTAATCATGAGAGAGAAGCGGACAGGTCAGGATCAGAGATACGAGGACAGAGCTAAAGACCAGACTGATGTGGGGCCATAAGCCAAAGAACGCGGGCAGCTTTTAGGAGCCAGAAAAGGCAAAAAAAAAAAAAAAAAAAAAAAAAAATTCTCCCCTAGATCGCCCAGAAGGAAGCAGCCCTGCTGACCTGTCTTGGACTTGCGATCTGTAGAACTGTAAGGTCATAAACTTCAGTTGCCACCAGCCGCTACCTTTATGGTAATTTGTTACAGTGACAACAGGAAGATAATACACTGGTTTGTTCACAAAGCGGCCAATCCTGGCGGCCTGGGCTCCTGACGGCTGCCCGCAGACCCCTCCAGCATCTGCTTCCCATAGCCTCAGCAGGAGCGGCCAGCTTCTGGTGCCAGCCCCGCGGGAGCACAGAGCACGCCTGGGCCACTGACAGCACGGGGACGGGCGCAGGTATCCCTCCTAAGGTGAGCTCACCAGCTGCCAGAGGTCGCAGGCAGCCAGCAGGGCACCTAGATTCCAGGGCCTGAATCACTACAGAACCGCCCGCTCCCACCTCTCCATTTAGTGTGTCTCCAAGCTAATTTGTAAACAAGGTTCTAGGAATCAATACTGTTATTCTTTGTAAAAACAAAATTTTGGTCACGGTGCCGTGTGAGAACAGCTGCCAGAACTCACCCAGCCTGGAGGCTTGGCTCGAGACAGTCTCTGATCTAAAACGTGAGCAACATAGAAAAGACAAACTTTACTTTGAAACTGGGGGACTCCAAAGAGATACACCTTTTTCCACTAGAGTGGCTGAACCTGGGCCAAGGGGGTGCCCAGAGGGCCCACGGACAGGCGGCAAGTACGAACCCAGCCCCATCGGGTGGGCACTTTGAGGAGCCACCGTGGAGTTACAGACTCATTCCCGCCGGCAGATGGGTTGTCGTCTGACCTTTCACCTTCCTGTTTCAGGTAAGGGAGGGCTACAAAGTGCCTCACTCTGCAGTTTTGCAAATGTGCTCCATTAAGCTTTTTTATATATATATAAATTTATTTTTTATTGGTGTTCAATTTGCCAACATACAGAATAACACCCAGTGCTCACCCCGTCAAGTGCCCCCTCAGTGCCCGTCACCCACTCACCCCCACCTCCCGCCCACCTCCCCTTCCACCACCCCTAGTTCCTTTACCAGAGTTCAGAGTCTCTCATGTTCTGTCTCCCTTTCTGATATTTCCCACACATTTTCTCTCCTTCCCCCTTTATTCCCTTTCACTATTTTTTATATTCCCCGAATGAATGAGACCATATGATGATTGTCCTTCTCCGACTGACTTACTTCACTCAGCATAATACCCTCCAGTTCCATCCACGGCGAAGCAAATGGTGGGTATTTGTCGTGTCTAAAGGCTGAGGAATATTCCATTGTATACATAGACCACAGCTTTATCCATCATCTGTCGATGGACACCGAGGCTCCTTCCACAGTGTGGCTATTGTGGACATGGCTGCTAGAGACATCGGGGCGCAGGTGTCCCGGCGTCTCACTGCATCTGTATCTTTGGGGTAAATCCCCAACAGTGCAATTGCTGGGTCTTAGGGCAGATCTGTATTTAACTCTTTGAGGAACCCCCACACAGCAAAATCCTAGAGGAAAACACAGGCAACACCCCCCCTTTTTTTTTTTTTGGCAACACCCTTTTTGAACTCGGCCACAGCAACTTCTTGCAAGATACATCCACGAAGGCAAAAGAAACAAAAGCAAAAATGAACTATTGGGACTTCATCAAGATAAGAAGCTTTTGCACAGCAAAGGATACAGTCAACAAAACTACAAGACAACCTACAGATGGGAGAAGATATTTGCAAATGACGTATCAGATAAAGGGCTAGTTTCCAAGATCTATAAAGAACTTATTAAACTCAACAGCAAAGAAACAAACAATCCAATCATGAAATGGGCAAAAGAGACGAACAGAAATCTCACAGAGGAAGACCTAGACGTGGCCAACAAGCCCATGAGAAAATGCTCCGCATCACTGGCCATCAGGGAAATACAAATCAAAACCACCATGAGACACCACCTCACACCAGTGAGAATGGGGAACATTAACAAGGCAGGAAACCACAGATGTCGGAGAGGGTGTGGAGAAAGGGGAACCCTCTTGCACTGTTGGTGGGAATGTGAACTGGGGCAGCCACTCTGGAAAACCGTGTGGAGGTTTCTCCATTAAGCTTTAAGAAAAGTCTTGTGAGCCTCTTAGGGGCGCATCAGGAGGAGAGTAGGGCTGGGTAGGTGAGACCGAGTAGCTGCGGGATCACCGCCGGGATAAGAGAGTCTCCACTGTTAGATGCTTTATGTTAAGCTTCCTCCGAAAATAGTTGTTTAAGAGGGAGTGTCTCACACTTAAAAAAAATAAATAAGTGTGAAAGCCACTGTCTAAATATAGAACAGCCCAAACCAATACAAATTATTTCAAGTCTCAATGTGCGAAAATGTCAACCAAGAAAGTACAATAGTGGTATAGTTCGCACAGCAAACCCTACACACAATAGGTCATGTTAAATGTTAAAGTTCCTCGACTGTCCTCAGCTCACAGTGCCTCCAGGGAGCCTTTAGCTGCAGCGTGTACTGGAAGCCTGGAGTTTCTGGAAGGCTGGTGTGTTGGCCATGGGCAAGCTCCCGGCAGAGCAGGGTTCAGCCTCCCCTGGGCCTCTTCCGGCCCACACAGCCTCACCTTACACCTCTAGACGTTTCCGGAAATAAAGGACTGAGTGCCAGAAAGAGATACGTAAACTCTGAAGCCCTGATTACACCCATGTCTCTAGCCTGTCTCAAGAGCTGTAGGCATTCCCAGGCTCTGCACTATTGGACACCTCCCAGAAACCTGGGGCGAGCCCTTTGCCCCACTCCCAAAGCTAAATGATCAAAGGTCCTGTCACTTCTATCATCCGAGCAGCCTTCCTGTCCACCGCCTCCTCATCATCTCCACGCTTGGGTGAGGCTCTCCTCGCTTCTCTCCTTCACCTGATCTCCGCACTGAAGCCCAAATAATCATTCGAATCTGATCCTGTTTACAGCTCATTTGAAAACCCTTCTTGAAGGGAGAAGAAATGTGTGGAAAATATCAGAAAGGGAGACAGAACATAAAGACTCCTAACTCTGGGAAATGAACTAGGGGTGGTGGAAGGGGAGGAGGGCGGGGGGTGGGGGTGACTGGGTGACGGGCACTGAGGGGGGCACTTGACGGGATGAGCACTGGGTGTTATTCTGTATGTTGGTAAATTGAACAGCAATAAAAAATAAATTTATTATATATAAAAAAAAGAAAACCCTTCTTAACACCCTCTCATCCAAAAGATCAAGTCCAAACTGTCAATCAAAGAGTGTAAGTCTTTTAAAGTCTTGGCTAAGTCTTTGCTCCTTCTGAGCTATGGGAAAGCTTCCGTAGTCCCTCCATATCCCGCATGCACGTCCCTCCATCCTCTCCATGAACACATGGGGCTCCTGGACCCCTACCTTCTCTGTCAAAATGACGCTCAAAGAGTGCCTTCTCCAAGAAGCTTCCCCAGATATTTCCAAGTAGTGTTTGCTTGTTCTGCTTCAAAAAAATAAATAAATAAGTAAAATCCTATGGCCATTCTGAACCCCAAATCAATGCAGTGAGGACTGCTTGAGCAGGAACCCAGGCAGTGGGATGGATTCCAGAGTGGGGCAAAGGTTGGGGACCATGGACCACTAAGGGAGAGTTCTCTGATTCTCAATCATTCCCCATGTGATTACGAGGATGGCAGGTCCAAAATCTGCAGGGCAAGGTGGGCAGGCTAGAGACCCAGGGAGGGGTCCAGAGATCCAGGGAGGAGTTGGTGCTGCAGCCATCTAGAAGCAAAATTCTCTCTTCATTGGGAGGAAATTACTGTCATGAAATTCATGTGATGCTTTTTTTTTTTAAAAGATTTTTATTTATTTATTCATGAGAGACACACAGAGAGAGGCAGAGGCACAGGCAAAGGGAGAAGCAGGCTCCCTGCGGGGACTTGATCCCAGGACCCCAAGACCTGAGCTGAAGGCAGACTGTCTCTCTAGTGCCCCCTTCTGATGAATCCAACACGGGGCCATCTGGTGAAGTAGTAATATTGACAGGGTTTCAGGGTGTCAGTGAAAGGGGGAGTTGGAGCAGAGAGACAGTAAATTGGTGACCAACATGGCAATGCACCGGGTTCCCACTGCTCAGTATAGCCTGGGGGCAAATCCGAAAGGCAACCAGTGAGTCTGTTTCTCTTTTCCTGACCTGCGTCAGGCCCTCCCTTTCCATGCAAATCACTCGCGCGGACTTCATTTTATGGAGCTTTGCTTGAATGCATTTCCCTTTATTGAGTTTTGTAGATACTGGTTGGGGGGGAGCTGGTTGTTTTTTTGTTTTGGGTTGTTTTTGTTTTTGTTTTTACAGATTGAAGGTTAGTGTCAACCCTGCATCAAACAAGTCTACCGATACTATTTTCCAACAGAATTTGTTTACTTTATGTCTACGTCTCACATTTTGGCGACTCTTGTAAGATTTCGAACTTTGTCATTATGTGTGTGATGAGGATCTATGCTCAGTGATCTTTGATGTTATATAGTAATTGTTTGGGGGCACCACAAACCACACCCATATAAGACGGAGAACGTAATGGATAAATGTTGTATGGTTCCTGCCTACTTCATTCCATCTCTCCCCCTCTCCTCCGGCCTTCCTATTCCCCAAGACACAACACCAATGAATCAACGTGCAAGTGAAAGAAAGAGTTGCACATCTCTCACTTTAAATCAAAAGCTAGAAATGATTAGGCTTAGTGAGGAGGGCATGTTGAAAGTCAAGAGGCCTCTTGTGGCAAACAGCCAAGTTGTGAAAGCAAAGGAAAAATTTTTGAAGAAAATTAGAAGTGCTGCTCCAGTGAACACATGAATGGTAAGAATGTGAAATAGCCCAATTGCTGATATGGAGAAAGTTTTAGTGGTCTGGAGAGAGGATCAAACCAGCCACAGCAGTCCCTTAAACCAAAGCCTCACCCAGACCAAGTCCCTAACTCTCGTCAATTCTGTGAAGGCTGAGAGAGGGGAAGAAGCTGCAGGAGGAAAGTCTGAAGCTAGCGGAGGTTGGTTCATGAAGTTTACGGCAAGACGCCATCTCCATGACCTCAAGTGCAGCGTGGAAGCTGCAGCGAACTATCCGGAAGATCCAACTAAGGTCATTTATGAAGTTGGCTGCACCAAATGACGTATTTTTATCGTAGACAAAATAAGCTTCTACTGGAAGAAGATGCCATCTAGGACCTTCACTGCTAGACAGGAGAAGCCAATGGAGCTTTCAAAGCTTCATAGACAGGCTGGTGCTCTCCTTGGGGGCTAACACAGCTGGTGGCTTGAAGTTGAAGCCAATACTCACTTGCCATTCCAGAATCATGCTAAGTCCACTCTGTGCTCTATAAACGGAACTTCAAAGCTTGGATGATGGCACATCTGTTGAAAATACAGTTAACTGAATATTTAAAGCCCACTATTGAGACTTAATGCTCCAAAAAAATGATTCCTTTCAAAATATTCCTGCTTATTGACAATGTACCTGGCCACCCAAGAGCTCCAACAGAGAGGTACAATAAGACTATTATTGTCTCCACACCTGCTAACAACATCCATTCTGAAGCCTATACATCAAGGAGTCATTTCAATTTTCAAGTCTTAGTTTTTAGAAATACCTTTTGTAAGGCTAGAGCTGCCATAGACAATTATTTCTCTGATGCATCTGGGTGAAGTCAATGGAAAACCTTCTCTTTTTATTTATTCATGAGAGACACACAGAGAGAGGCAGAGACACAGGCAGAGGGAGAAGCAGGCTCCATGCAGGGAGCCTGATGTGAGACTCAATCCCAGGACCCTGGGATTATGCCCTGAGCCAAAGGCAGATGCTCAACCGCTGAGCCACTCAGGAGTCCCAGTGGAAAACCTGGACCAGATTCACAACATTCATGATTCACAGAAGGTCAAAATATGAACATGCACAGGAGTTTGGAAGAAGTTGATTCCCACCCCCATGGATGACGTTGAGGGCTTCAGGATACCAGTGGAGGACGGAACTGCAGATGTGGAAACAGCAAGAGAACTAGAGTTAGAAGTGCAGCCTGAAGATGGGACTGAACTGCTGCCGTCTGACGATAAAAGCGAAAAGAATGTGGAGTTGCTTCTTACAGAGGAGCCAAGGAAGTGGATTCCGGACGTGGCACCTACTCTCAGGGAAGATGCTGTGAAGACTGCTGAAATGACAACAAAGGGTTAGAATATGACATGACTTGCTTGATCAAGCAGCAGCAGGGTTTGAGAGGATAGACTCCAATTCTATCAAACAGCATCACACGCTACAGAGAAATTGCTCATGAAAGCAAGAATCAATCAATGCAGCAAGTTTCATTATCTTAAGGTACAGCTGCAGCCACCCCAACCTTCAGCAACCACCACCCTGACCCAGCAACTGCCATCAGGAAGGAGGCAAGACCCTACACCAGCAAAAAGATTACTCACTAAAAGCCCAGATGATGGTTAGCAGTTTCAGCAATAAAGTATTTTTAAAGTAAGGCTTGTACATTTTTTAAATATAATGCTGTTACTGCACACTTCATAGACTATAGTGTAAATGTAACTTTTATATGCACTGGGAGACAAAACATTCATTTGACTTGCTTTATTTGCAATATTTGCATAGTGTGGTGGCCTGGCCCCAAAACCACAATACTTCCAAGGTATGCATGTATAAGGAACTCACTCACTGATATAACCACAGTATGTCTGTTGACAAGGTGATGTGCTGGGTCACAGCAGCTAGGGACAGGTAAGTTCTGGTCTAGTGTTGGTGGGAGAAGTATTTGGTACTTCAGCTGCCCCTTGATTGTGCTGTGGTTCCTGTGAGGCATATGGGAAGCCGCCATCTGGTGGGTGCAATTGGAAACACAGAAAATTATAGTTTAGACGTATGTAAAGTATGCACAGGGAAATAGAGGCTGACCTATCCAGTTACGGTGTATTATAGAAAATCCAATTATAGAGATTAGAGGGGAAAAAAAAAGTTGAAATTCTCTGGCAACAGCGATATTGTCCTTCATCATAGAGTGAAAATCTACAGACACTTACTTTTTTTTTTTTTACAGACACTTATTGTGAGATTATACTTCTTTATTTTGCAACTCATTTTAGCAAAGTGGGCCCAAAAATTAAGTACTGGGTTTTCATATCTCAAGAAATAGAGTGTGTGATGTGCACAAAATGGTGTTTACCGCCCACCATCGTGGGTAGCATAGTGTGATCTCTAATCATGTGAAGACCAGAAGATGCTATCTATAAGAAAATACCAACATTTCCTTCAAAAGATAAAATTTTTTAAATTTTTTATTTATTTATGATAGTCACACACACAGAGAGAGAGAGAGAGAGAGAAAGAGAGGCAGAGACACAGGCAGAGGGAGAAGCAGGCTCCATGCACCGGGAGCCCGACGTGGGATTCGATCCCGGGTCTCCAGGATCGCGCCCTGGGACAAAGACAGGCGCTAAACTGCTGCGCCACCCAGGGGTCCCTCAAAAGATAAATTTTTTTAATGATTTATTTATTGGAGAGATAAAGAGAGAAAGGGAGCAGGGGGAGGGGCCATGGGAGAGAGAGAGAGAGAGAATCTCAAGCAGACTCCCTGCTGAACATGGAGCCTGATGCGGGGCTCAATCTCATGATCCTGAGATCATGACCTGAGCCGAAATCAAGAGTTGGAGACTGAACCTACTGAGCCACTAAGGTGTGCCTAAAATGTAGTAGTTATTTTTAAAAAAAAAGATTTACAGATTTTATTTGAGAGAGAGAGAGCACGAGAGCAAGTGGGGGAGGGGGAGAGGGAGAGAGAGAATCCCAAGCTGACTCCCCACTGAGCGCAGAACCTGGCACGGGGCTCAATCCCACGACCCTGAGATCACGACCTGTGCTGAAATCAAGAGTCAGAGGCTTAACCCACTGAGCCACCCAGGCATCCCCAGGTAGTAATTATTTCAAGACCGTCCCACAGGTAACAGTCTAATGGGTCCAGCTGCAGGGGTACATGGACGTGTGGCTTTGTGAAGCAGACTTTTCATTTGATCAAATGACTGTTATTGTAAATTAGTTTGTCATTTTCAAAAAGCAAAGCAATTCGTGAAATTGTCAGCTGCATTAGCAGAAGAAAAATTACATATTGCTAAAGCCAGTTTCATTAAGCCTTCAAATAGAAAATCAGTTTAAGTTCTCCATTTAATTCATGGATGGATAGCCACTGGGTGGCTCAGGGGTTGAGCGTCTGCCTTCAGCCCAGGTCGTGATCCCAGAGTTCCGGGATCGAGTCCCACGTCGGGCTCCCTGCACGGAGCCTGCTTCTCCCTCTGCCTGTGTCTCTGCCTCTGTGTGTGTGTGTCTCTCATGAATAAATAAATAAAGTCTTTAAAGAAAAGAGTACACTTAAACATATATAACTGGATAAATTTATAGTCTACACCAGAATCCAATGAAACTGAGGTCAAAAATTTTGTAGCATACATATTTGGAAAAACAAGTGTTATATTGATAAATGATTTGGTAAGTTTTGTCCCATCCAAGTATTTGGAAAAGAAACACATGCTGTGTGGAGGCAAAAAGACTGTAGCTATGGAAATATTCCCACTGAAACAGTTACACATTTATACATTCTGTCAATGCAAAATGAGCAAATCTTTTAGTTTCCTTAAAAAGGAAAAGTAGACAATTTTATTTATGCTTAAGTGAGGACAGCTGCCCAGGATACCCAATCTTCACAAAGAAGAAAGTGCTCCTCAGAAGGATTGAGGAATACGGAGTTGTACCTGGTTTTTTTTTTGTTTTTTGTTTTTTTTTGTTGTTGTTGTTATATCAAGAGTTACAGATCATCAGGACTTCAGACATTCCAAAAAATAACAAACTTGGTCTTATGCTTTTAGTATGTGAAAGGTCGCAGGCTTTGAGGTAAGGGAATTTAAGGAACTTTTCACTCTTTAGTTTGAAGTGTTTCTTTTAGGTTATTTGCTGATGAAGCAGAGGTACAGCGTGTGCTCTGGGCAGAAATAGAGTGCGTGCTTTGCAGCGTGGTTAAGTCATTCTGACCCTTGTAGAAGTTAAGGTATAGATTCCCTGGGAGCCCTGGAGCAGGGCCCCAAAACAGTAAAGGTTGAAAAGGTCCTTTTTATCAATTTTAATATGAAAAAATAGAATTGAGATCTTTATTTTTCAGAACTTGCTCTGAGCTTACTTAGGTCCCTCAGCACCTCAAAAAATGAGTGTTTTCTCAATTAAAAAAAAAATGCTGCATTCTACAGCAGGTCTGGCTGCATGATTTGCAGGATCCAGTGCAAAATGTAAATGAAGGACCTTCTGATCAAAACATTGAGGTTCAAGACAATCATAAGAGAGCATTAAACCAAGTGTGGGCCCTTCGAGACGGTGGCTGCACAGGCCACGTGCCTCAGAATTTATGAATGCTGTCAAGAGACAAGAGCCACTGATGATGGCTAACTGATGATGACAATAATTTCAAATTCGTGAATAATACAATGAATGAAAAATTGTTAGAAATTTTTAATAAGATCGTATTGAAAAATAAATTTTTGAGATAAATACCAGTGACATTTCAGCAGATTCAGCAAAGAAGCAAATTAAAGTATATTATTAGGTAGCAAGAACAATTATTCTGTTTATTTTTTAAACACTCAGATAATCAAGGGTACCTGGCTAGCTCAGTTGGTGGAGCATGAGACTCTTGATCTTGGGGTTGTAAGTTCAAGGCCCATGATGGGTGTAGAGATTACTTAAAAATAAACTTAAAAATATACGTAAAAAAGTAAATATTTAGATAATATATATTTTTTAAAACTTTGCTTTAATTTATATGTTAAATTTAATCTTTTGAAAAAATATTTTTAAAGACCATTTTGACAAGAATTATTTTTTGGTCCACTTTAATAAAAACCAGGTAAGCAATCAGTAAATCAATTTCTAAAAATAAAACAATCAATTATTTTCACTACCTCTTTCATTTTCAGGTGTCCCAGTTTGGACACACTACATACTTAGCAAGTATATTTGATTTCATGTTATAGAGATGTGTATAGGTGTTACATTATGTTTTATATACTGAAAAAATAATTCTATCTTTTCAGAAAACTGTGTGAATTGTTGTATTAATCTGAGCCCAGCCGTGTGTTGATTGTTTCCTCCAAGAATGGTGGGGGGAAAGGAAATGTTACTTCTAAAAAAGATGTTTTTTAAGACCTATTTATTTGAGAGAGAGAGAGATCACTCAGAGACAGGGCGGGGGGGGGGGGTCGGAGGGAGAAGGAGAAAGAGGATCCTCAAGGAGATTCCCCACTGAGCATGGGCTGGATTCCAGAACGCTGAGATCATGACCTGAGCTAAAAACCAAGAGTTGGACAGTTAATCAACCGAGCTACCCAAGTGACCCTAAAAAGGAATATTTTTAAATTATTAGCTACAAGTTCATGGAGAAGTTATGGCACTTATTTTCATGATTCATTTCCCTTTGTAGCTCACTACCTTTTAGCAAAGTGACATGGGTACCTGTGAATTTCAAGCAAACTGGTGACATAATTGCCCTAGGCATTCTAAGAAAGTATCCAAATGACTGTGAAAAGAAAGGGTTTTTAATGATATTGGGGACACTTTTCTAACGTTGAGAAGAAAATGTATCCAAAGCTTTGTCTACAGATTAAAAATAACAGTAACAATATAAATGATATTTATCTCAAAGGGTAGATGTGGAAATTAAATTAATATGTAAAGGACTCTGTACTTGGTCTACCTAATTAAGAAATTAAAACTATCCATAAATGGGCCTATTATTGCATCTCTTAGCCACTGTCTTCTCCTGTAGGGTTAGATGGCTATTTCTCCATATGCTCATGTCACTATATAATTTTGCTCCTTTGTTCTGCAGATGAGACAGATGACATTAATTTTATCATGTTGTATTGACTTTGTGTTCCTGGGATAAACTCAACTTTTCCATAGTATCCTTATATCACCAATGAGATTGGTTTTTTTGTTTTGTTTTGTTCTATTTAGTTTTGTTTCATCTTCCGCATATTTGGCTAAGGCTGATTTGTGCCTTGATTGCTACATACAGTTTCTACTGCTGGAAATTTGAACTCAGTTTCCATCTGCCCGCAAGGTTAGCCCTGAGGTTAGCCAAGATCCAAACAGTCTCAGCGAGGGAATGAATAAAAAACATGGCCCCAGTACATTCACAAAATAGTTGGGCCTTACCTGATGGTTCCATTCTCCTTTCCTCAGATTATGCGTTAAATCTTCAGAAAGAATAATATGAAGTCAACATACTTTACTGAAGTAAGGATATTGAAATGCACCCAAGGATAGGTATTTCACTAGGCTCTGACCATCATCCGCATGACCATTGTTGGACAAACTCAGAGAGGGTCATCCCAACCAGAACTGTGTTTGCACTGATATTTTAAGTTTGAGTAGTTTGAAAGAATGAATTGATATAAGAA